TTCTTCTTCTTCTTCTTCTTCTTCTTCTTCTTCTTCTTCTTCTTCTTTTTTAAAGAAAAGAAACAGGTTCTGAGATTAACTAGAGGTGAAATTTTCATTTTAGATTAGGAGACCAAGGAAAGCTTCGCTGGTCATGGCCTATAGCTAAGACCTGAGGAGAGGGAGTTGTGTGGGAGAGTAGAAAGGAAGCCACTGGAAGGCTTTTGGACAGAGAACGAACTGGTCTGATACATGTTTATGTGATTCCCTGGACGCCGTATTGAGTAGGCTACTAGACGAGAAGTAGGCTGGGAAATGAAACTATGGGACACTGCACTTACACAGAGGAAGGACTCAGGTATTGTGCTGAAAGATAGCTGGCTTCTGGATCTGACTCTAGGGTAAGGCTGCCTCAGATATGGCTATGGTTTGTGGAAAGATGAGAGTATCCATTTGCTGCAGAGCTTGGGACTGTAGAAGGCCAGGCGGGACAAAGAGCAGAACTTGTATCTTTGGAAGATGTCAAACGGGCAGGCACCAGATGTGAGCTGGGAGTCCTGGGCCAGAGATCCAGGGCTGGAAAGCATCTGACTATAGATGGTGCTTGAAGCTGTGAGTTTGGTGAGGCCACCTTCTGTACAGAGACTTTCTAAAGAATCGAGGAATATGGTGGTGATTTTCATCACTGGATGGATCCAAGGGCCCAGGGGTTAGTCCTACCATTCCTCATAACAATGTTCACAGATTTGGTACACCATGTGTTTGCTCTGTGCTCACACGCACACATGCACTTTTCTGTGTTGAGAAACGTTTCCATAAGACAGCTGAAGTAACAGACATGGTTACTGAGCTGTGGTTGCTGGTAGTTATGTTGTCCCAAGAACATCAGAGGTGAACACATGTAAACTTTGCTAGGCTTTCTTGGTTAAGATTATTTTAAGTTTAACGTAATGGGTATGATTGCAGCCATAGGTTAAGGACTGAAACTGGCTCAAAAGATGTCAGTTTAAAAGGAACTTGAGGTCTGGGGTTGCAGGTCAGCGGCAGAGGTCAGCGGTGGGATTTCGGGTAAAGAGGCTGGTCGATAGGACTGACATCTGTGGAAGGACTGAGGGGAACCTGGTTCATAGCATTTGGCAGATGGGAAGGGACTATTTATGATGCTGTTGCCATGGATGCTGTTAGGGGCATTAGCTAGCTCAGAGGAGGTCAGAGAGGGTACCACAAATACTGGAGAGTGTAGGTTAGAGCCTGGAACGTTCTGGGAGACTTTTTTCTTCTGATGATATAGTTTGAAATAAGATAAAGTAGTAGGGAAAAATAGGGAAGGGAGGCTAGACAGATGGGTGGACCGGGAAGGACAGTTGCGGGTCTCTAGAGGAGGGAGAAGAGTGGTAGATGATGCTCCCAGGCTATTCCTGACTCCAGGGAAAAGGATGCATATATAAAATATTCTTTTTCCAGTTTTGGATTGCAGGGGTCAATGTTTTGTTTGGTTGGTTTTTGGTTTTGCTTTGTTTTCTTTCTTTCTTTTTTTTTCTTTTTGGTTTTTCGAGACAGGGTTTCTCTGTGTAGCCCTGGCTGTCCTGGAACTCACTCTGTAGACCAGGCTGGCCTCGAACTCAGAAATCCGCCTGCCTCTGCCTCCCAAGTGCTGGGATTAAAGGCGTGTGCCACCACCGCCCAGCTTGGTTTTGTTTTCAAGACAGGGATTCTCTATGTAGTCTCAGCTGTCCGGGAACTCACCCTATAGACCAAACTGGCTTTGAACTTACAGAGATCTGCCTGTCTCTGCCTTCCAAGTACTGGGATAAAAGGCATGCACCACCACCATCCAGCTCATAAGGGCCAATTTAAATATCAAAACCTTACTTCAAAATCCAAATAATTTTTAAAGTAGATTCAATTTCAATTCTCACATTACCAGTGTAATAATAATTCTTCTTCTTCTTCTTCTTCTTCTTCTTCTTCTTCTTCTTCTTCTTCTTCTTCTTCTTCTTTTTCTCCTTTTTCTTTTACTTGTTCTTTGATTTCCATGATTCAGTCTTTGTTTTAAATTCTTAAAATTTTATGTGTGAGTGTTTTGTCTGCATGGACATATATGCACTATGTTTGCCCAGAGATGCCAGAAGAGGGTTTTGGATCGCCTGGAACTAGAGTTACACTTGGGGGCCACCATGTGGGTGCTGGGAACCAAACCCAAGTTCTCCACAAGAACAACAACTGCTCTTAACCACTGAGCTGTGTGTGTGTATGTGTGTATGTATGTATGTCTCTATATGTGTGTGTCTGTGCATGCATGTGTGTATATGTCTGTGTGTGTGTATGTATGTATGTCTCTGTATGTGTGTGTGTGTATGTGTGTGTCTGTGTGTGTCTGTGTGTGTGTTTGCATGTGTGTGTGTGCATGTGTGTGTGTGTCTGTTTGTGTGTACGTATGTATGTCTCTGTATGTGTGTGTGAGTCTGTGTGTGTATGATTTGTATATTTCCTGGGACTGTGGCCCTGAGCCATGAAGGATAGAAATTCAGGGTTAGAGTTCCTTGGGCTTTGCCTCTCTAGATTGTAAGACTTCCATCTCAGTTCACCATGTCTTCAGATTCAAAAGAATAGGAAAAGGTCAGGAAGGGTCTGACCCTGGGCAGTCCACAGGGAGAGTTCTTCCCAGATGTACGTTAGCAGAGTCCATGGCTGGATGTGCTCATTGCTTAGAGTCCATAGACAGTCAGGGTGAACATCCATGGAGGACCATAGCCACCAAAGCTGGACATTGCTTTGTCCTCTGAGCACCCCAGTACTGACTCAGAAGGAGGCACAGGAAATCAGTATGATTTGTTGGCTGAATCAACAGGTGGTTCAGAACTCTACCCAGCAATAGCATCTAGCCATGGCTTATTAATACCATTTGCTACCATTAATGGTCTCAAGTCCCTCTTCTCCAGAAGCTCACTGACCTCATGGGAGGGATGTACCATGATGCTCCTGGGAAAGACAGAGATGTTAGTTATTTTCCTGTAACTCTGGCGAAGTGGTTGACAGAAGCCTCTGAAATCACAGTGAATGCATGTGGCAGATATACACACAGACAAACATAGATATACAAACATACACATACATGACTAAAAACAAACAACAGCCTTGATAGTTGGGTTCGTGGTCGCTTAAATGTGTGCCTTTCGGATTTTATAGGTGGCCCCTGAGGAAGACGAGAGGAAAAGGAGGCGGCGGGAAAGAAATAAAATTGCTGCTGCCAAGTGTCGAAACAAGAAAAAGGAAAAGACAGAGTGCTTGCAGAAAGTGAGTCCAGCCAGCCTGGCCCAGCTTCCCCTGGGAGAGGGAAAGCCAGTGGGGGGAGCAGACCCATTACCATGCTGTAGGCCAGCTGTAGGCAGAGGATGGAGCAAAGCTATTAGCATGGCGGAAACCACTCTGGAGATGTTTATGTGTACACACACGCACATATATATATATGCTTTCTGCATGGGCAGTGGTCTGGAGCAGCCCTCTCTGAGCCCTTGGTGCTAAGGCAGTTTCAGCAAGCATGGAAGCCTGGCTCAGTGATATCTTTACGCTTTCTTTTAAATGATTCCCAACTTCTGAGTCCTCTGCAGGATTCATACCACATATATATATATATGTGTGTGTGTGTGTGTGTGTGTGTGTGTGTGTGTGTGTGTGTATACATATATCCAGGGCCAGCAAACTGGCTCATGGGTAAAGGTGCTTGCCATGCAAACCTAGCACTTTAGGTTTGATACCCAGAAGCTGCTGTGGAAGGAGTGAGCTAGTTTCTCAAAGTGACCTCTGACCTTCATGTACATGCTATGCATAGACTGGTCCATATACCCCCAGCAGTCTCTAGACTTTCCGCTCCCACCAGCCTAGTCAAAGAGACTTTACGCACCAGTTTTACCCAACACAACAAAATGATGAAACCCTGCTACTGCCTTTGGCTCTCAGGAAAAGCTTTCATTATCCTCTTCAAGTTACTATGGCGACCCGGAAGTAGTGCTTACAGTGCTCCTTCCTGGATCTGAACGCTGCCTCCCTACTCTATGCTTATCCAGCACTGAGCACCCTGGGAGGCTGACACCCCACACAAAACACCAGGGGTACAGCATGGGTTCATAGGCAAGGCAGACCACAGAGCCTGGAAGTCTTTGTGGGGTCATATCTGCTTCCCCAAGTGTGTGCAGGCCAGCTTCTCGAAGAGACAGGAAAGCCTGGGATGTCTGCTCATTACTTCAGGGTCAGTGAGAACTTGGGAAGCTTTGGTGTTTCTGAGAATACTTCTGTGGAGATGGGAGTCTTGGTGAGATCAGAAATTCAGAGAAAACACCGCACCACCAGTTTGGGTTTCTCCCCACCTCCCAAGATCCTGTGGGGCCCAGATGCTTTCTGCATGGGCAGTGGTCTGGAGCAGCCCTCTCTGAGCCCTTGGTGCTAAGGTAGTTTCAGCAAGCATGGAAGCCTGGCTCAGTGGTATCTTTATGCTTTCTTTTAAATGGTTCCCAACTTCTGAGTTGGATTCTCTGCAGGATTCATACCACCTTCCACCTATCTTCGTCCTCCTATCTTTGTGGTAACAGTTCCTCTAGCAGGTCTCTCTCAGTTTGAGGAACCCGAAGGTTTCCAGGTTGTCCCCCACCTCCCTGCTCCTTGTTTCCCTCCATAATGCCTCTGTTGACTGTCCCTCAGGAGTCAGAGAAACTGGAGAGTGTGAATGCCGAGCTGAAGGCCCAGATCGAGGAGCTGAAGAACGAGAAACAGCATTTGATATACATGCTCAACCTGCACCGGCCTACGTGTATCGTCCGGGCTCAGAATGGACGGACACCAGAAGACGAAAGGAACCTCTTTATCCAACAGATAAAAGAAGGAACATTGCAGAGCTAAGCAGAGGTGGCATGGGGTCCATTGGGGAGTCCTTTCTGAATCCTCCGTTTCCACCCCAAACCCTGAAGCCATTGGAAAACTGGCTTCTTGTGCACTTCTAGAATCTCAGCAGCCAAGAGCAGTTGGGGCAGGAGGGCCTGCAGTGACTACTGCATTGTCCCCACTCTGCCCCCGAGTGAACCGTGGAGCAGGCAGGAGCATCCTTTGTCTCCCCAATTCCAGGATTTAGGCCTTACCATCCTGGCCATTCTCAGATGACGTAGCTGGCCCCAGGCTGGGGTTCCATGCAAAGCAGGATCCCACCAACGGGATTCAGGCAGAAGTGTCTACCTCGATAGGGTGGGCCCACGTCCTCCACTGCGGCTGACAACATCCCTTCTAGGGGATGTGGAGAGAGAACATTCATGATCGAGGCTGTCCAATGGCCAGGGTGTGCTTTCTAGAAAATATGCTGTTCTGTCCCAGAATGACTGCATAGGGCATTCGTTCCAGAGCCTGGTGTTGTGGTATTTTAGATGTTTGTCTTGCATTGGCATGATTTTTCCGGGAGTTTCATCAGATCTGATTTCTGAGAGTTTGGGGGAATCTGCCGTTGTGGACAGTGTCCCTCAAAAGCATTTGGGTGGCCATGTGAACTGCTGGCACCAGGGAGTGAAACTGACTGATGACCAGCTGTGCAACTTTGTGCCGACAGAGCACGCATGCCTCCTTTCCCTGTACCCACTGTCGTGGAAGAACCTGGGCCTGGCAGCTCGTCCTTGGCTACAAACTGTTACAACGTCACAGAATGAAGGCACCAAGTCCGACTTTCAAAGGGTGTACCACTCCACACTCAGTGACAGGGCAGGAAGAGCCAAAGAATTCTCCATTTTTCTTTCTTCCTGCCAAAAGCCACGGCCACAGCCTGTGGAGACCCGTGTTTGAAGCCAGCAGGGCCAGGCATCTGCATTGTGGAGTGTTAAAGGCGTTTTTTGTCTTGTAGCTATTTTGAGACGTGGTCCAGGGCATGTCAGCTGGGAGGTCCCTATCTCTGGACACCAGGACTCTGGCTACTGTTAAAATTCTGATGTTTCTGTGAAATCCTCAGTGTTTAATCCCACTCAAAAGTATCATTACAGTTTTCTGTAAGAGAAAAATATTATTTATTCCAGTATTCCTAGCCTGTCAACATAATAAATATCAGAACAAGACCTGGTAAATTCTAGTGTGGTGATGTTTTCTGCTAAGTGTTGAAATAGTGACACGGCCTCTCTGTCATGGGGTGGTCAGCACTGAGTGTTTGGGGATAGATGGCTTCCTTCGTTCATGGGGAGACCACTAGGAATGGCAGTTAGTTGGCTTTTAAACAATTTATATTTTATGGGTAAGGGTGTTTTGTCTGCATGTATGTCTGTACACCACATGCATGCAGTGCCTGAGGAGGCCAGAAGAGAGAGCATTGGGTCCCCTAGAACCGGAGTTTCAGAGGGTTGCAAGCCACCATGTAGTTGCTGGGAATGGAACCCAGGTCTTCTCTGAGAGCACCGAGTGCTGTTGTTAACTGCTGATTGATCTCTCCAACTCAATTTATTTTTATTTATAATCTTATGTGTGTGTGTGTGTGTGTGTGTGTGTGTGTGTGTGTCTGTGTGTGTGTGTGTGTAGAGGGTATACATGAATGCAGTTGCCTACAGAGACCAAACTATCTCTTAAGCACTGAGCCAGCTCTGCAGCCCAGGTGGGTGACTTCTAATCCTGTGCCTCAGTCTGTTGATTGATACTCAGTTTGTCATTGGCAAACCCCAAAACAACACTACAGGTGTGTCCTTCATACCAACTGTTTGGCGCTAAGATAGTTTTTTGTTTGCTTTGAGTCAGAGTCTCAGTATTTAGTCCTAGGTGACCTGGAACACAATATACACACCAAACTGGCCTTCGATTCCCAAGTGCTGGTCTGCCTCCACCATGCCTGGCTTACAATAGAATCTTGATGTAAGATCCAAATTGTTAAATATTTCACCCATCCAGTTTCTCTGAAGATACAAACATGCCTAAAACATACACATGTTTTTAACCCTGAGCCTTTTTACAAATTACATTTAGTTTGAGAGCAGATGGTGTACGTGTATCTGCCACGTGGTCTTAGGAATTGAACTCGGATCGTCAGGCTTAGCAGCATGTGCCTTTACTGGCGGCACCATCGCTTTGGGTCAGCTTTAGCCTCTTGGCCTTGCCTTCTGCCACAGTGCTCTTTGAACAAGTTTCGGCTTGACTTAGATATGCTAACATGTTAGCATCGGTGTGCCTCCTAGTACGTATGTATTTCAAATATCAAGGAAAAAGAGGGTGGGGACAAAGAAGATGAGAGAACAGTTTTGGACAAGATGGGGAATGGGTAGGGTTGTTCCAAGAATGGCAATCCTAATTTTCTGGAATTTCCTGGCTCAGTGATTTCTCCCTGACCCTCTCCCTTCCTTGAGCCTTCTCCCTCACTTTGCTGTACTGGGGATACACCAAGCCCTCCCTTCCCTGGAAAACCACAGCACTTGAGCGGAGGTCTGGGGAAAATACTTGAGAGTTCTGACCACGTGAGTCCTGGGGAATCAACTTAGGTCAACAAGCTTGGTGGCAAACACTCTGAGCAGCTGACCCAGTTTGCCAGCCCTATGTGCCTGCTTGTTTGAACTGTCACATGATGCCTTTAAACTGTCTCAAGTCACAGGCGTGATTGTATCTCTGGTTGTTCCTAATCAGTAAAGAGTCATCTACCCAAAACAGTGCCCTTATCCCCTGGTTGTGGATAGTGATGATAACTATGGATTCAAGGCAGTTTAAAGATGGCCACGGAGGGCAGTGGGTTAGAGGGGAGGCAAAGCCATGCTTCCCGTGATGGTCTTTAAAAAGAACTGTACTGACACGTGCCACCCAGGCCTTTGACTCGAGTGCTTCACTTTGAAGAAGGCAGGCCAGGAGTCTGAAAGAACAGACTTAGACAGAGCCGTAGGGACTAGCACCTGGTTGGCCACATCTTCGGTTCTTTAGTTGCCTCCTGCCCGACGCGGTGACATCTCACTGGCAAGGCCCGCAAGAGCCACCTTTCTTCCCCTGTCTCCTGTGTTGTCCTGGGATCTGTCCCAGAATCTTCTTCAGAGTAAAGATTTGAAAGGTTGAGGCTCAGGACTTGAGTAACACTGTCATGTCACGTCATATTCTGTCAAGAGGTCAAATGCTTGTTTCCAATATAGCCAGCTTTGAAGAAGCCTTTGACTGCTTGCTATTCTAGCCTGTGTGAGTGGCTCTTCTAGGTTCGGGTGCTGCTGTCTTTGGGTCCAGGTCTGCCTGAAGGGAGACCAGGTTTACACACCGAGCATTCTTCCAGGTTCTTGTGGCTCTTAACTCCAGAAGTTTCTGGCCTCACTAAAAATTGGTCTTGGGGTAAGACTAGGCGGTGTGTACCTGGTGGATCTCTGGTCAAAGGCAGCTAGTCTATGTTGTGATTTCCAAGCCAGCCAGTGCTACACGGTGTGATCCTGTCTCAAAATATAAAACTAAACTAAGTGTACTTGTGAAGAAATTCACACTGAGCTGCAAAGCTTCTAGAGGCTGATTGAATGTTTATAAGAGTTAACATTCATCTCCTGGGACAACATGCTAGACATTGCATGTATCACATCATGTATGTAGTATTCTGTCACTATAACCATGCCTGAGATAAACAAAAGGAAACTGGGCTGCTGAGATCCTCAGGGAGTCAAGGCTTTGGCTGCCAAGTTTGACCGGAGTTCAGTCCCACACAATGAAAGGAGAGACTCAACTCCCACAAGTTATCCTCTGACCACATGTGTTCTGTGGCATGTACATGTCCCCAACACACACACACACACACGTGCAAAAAATATTTTAAGAGAGAAATAGGGCTGGAAGGATGGCTTAGTGGTTCAGGAACTTGCCACTTGAAGACCTGAGTTCATAACTTGTGTAAATGCCAGGTGGACATGGTGGCCTGCCTGTAATTCTAGATTTAAGACAGAGACTGGCATCCCCAGAGCAAGCTGGCTAGCCAGACTAGCCATATTGACAGATCTGGTGTGTCTGTGAAAAATCACCTTGGGCCCTCCTGTCCATGTACAAACACCACTCATACACGAATGAAAAAAAATGAAAAAGACAAAAGTTTATTTTGGTTCATGTCTTAGTCAGGGTTTCTATTCCTGCACAAACATGAAGACCAAGAAGCAAGCTGGGGAGGAAAGGATTTATTCACCTTACACTTCCACACTGCTGTTCATCACCAAAGGAAGTCAGGACTGGAACTCAAGCAGGTCAGGAAGCAGGAGCTGATGCAGAGGCTATGGAGGGATGTTACTTACTGGCTTGTTTCCCCTGGCTTGCTCAGCTTGCTTTCGTATAGAACCCAGGACACCAACCCAGGGATGGCACCACCCACAATGGGCCCTCCTATCCTTGATCACTAATTTGAGAAAATGCCTTACAGCTGGATCTCATGGAGGCATTTCCTCGAGGAAGGCTCCTTTCTCTGTGATAACTCCAGCTTGTGTCAAGTTGTCCAAAACCACCTCACAACCAGGAGGCAGAGTGGAAGAGAAAAGCAGGGGCAAGGGGTCCCATGATTTCACTTAAAGACCCTCCCTCCATGACATAGGTTCTCCTATGGGGCTTACCTCCCAATAGAGCAGGGACTCCAAGTGCCTCTAACACAGTGGTGTGGGAACATTTGATCCTTGGAAACACTGCTCATTCCACACACGAGGAAGTAGGAGCTCCAATGCTTGCTCAAGGTCACACAGTCAATGTAAAGTTGTAGGCTATACTTTTAAAAACTACAAAGTTTGTGAACAAGAGTTTGAAAGGTGTATGCCTTATATGTGTGAATGGAAACACACAGCCTACTATTTAACATTTAAATGCTTTGAGCACATACATGACACTGTATAGCCACCACTGATGGCCATCCGTAGGTCAGTCACTCCCCAGCTCCCACAAGCAGCACTTGGCAAACTTCTCAACTATTCATTCTCTAGCCTTGTCCCGTGGCTTTTTGTAAAGTGACAAGGTCCACCCATGTTGAAACATGCCAACACTCCATTCCTCTTCACGGATGAGTGACAGTGCTTCGTATGGAGAAGCTATATTTTGCTCATCTGCCTATCAACCAATAAACAGGTATGTGTGCTCTCACAGCGTGACATTGATAGCCTCATTCATAAGGAACAGGTGTCTGGAGTAAGACTTCATCAAACCAACTGGGGAAGCCTGGAGGAGGGGTCCAAGTGACAATAATTTGGGACCCCTGAGCCTGGCTAGCTATGTGGCTGTAGCAATAGGCAGAGTCATGAGGGCAGATGTAAATGGATTTCCAGAGCTCTCTCCCACAGTATGGCTGTTAAGGCAGGAGGGCCTAGATGGACTCTGGAATTTAAGGACCTCTATTTCTTACCTCTGGCCCTATTCTGTGCATTTCACTGAACACAGTGTGGAAAAGTGGATAGCATAAACCTAGAGCCCTTAAGAGAGTAAATGGTTCCTCACAAAAGCAAAACTGACAGGAAAAAACAATGTAGCTCATTTCTCAGCTCACCTACTGTCTAAAGTGGTTGTCCTGCTTTCTTTGTCACACTCCAGACACAGACAGACACAGACTATCTATCTATCTATCTATCTATCTATCTATCTATCTATCTATCTATCCCACGATGTAGTAAAAACAAATCAGTCTAGTTTGAAAACATTTGACCTGCCCAAGTTTCTCTCAAGAGGCAAAGTCATGTGGTGATTTAAAACAAGGCTTTTAGAATCAGCAAGACTTGGATTTGAACATTATAGTTTGTAGGTGTAGGTGATTCACCTTCAATGTCTTTGCCCTGTGAACTAGTACACATCCGTGGATCCTTCCACTACTGTGTGAACTATGACACCCAGTACAACGAGAGTAAGCAGTCATCTTGATTAGTAGAGGCCAGAGGTGTCCTGAAAGCTTATCAGCATCAACATTTAGTGAGGTTTCCTGGAAGAATCAAGAACAGTATTCAGGCCATCCAATAAAATGAAACCATAAACTCGGATGTTGCCAATCTCCCCATCTCCTCGAATTTCCACAGGCTTTGAATCTCTTCAATCTGGGCTAAAAGAAGGAAGTACTCATATACAATGTTTCCATTTGGAAGTACTCATGTACAATGTTCCCATCTGACGCCTTTTTATGTTGGTACTCACCTGGTCCTGTCCTCCTAGAGGGCAGCTGGGGGATGGGACAAAGGGGGATGTGCCAGTGACAGGTCACAAAGGGAGAAGGGGATAAATATGGCTGTGCAGGGCCGTCAGGCTCTAGTGGTCACTTCTCCCACTAGGGCTGCAGTTTGTAGACTCTCAGGGAGCTTTCAAATTAAATCACAGGTGGAGGTCCAAGGGGTTTTAGACCCTGAAGAGAACCTCCCTGGAGTCTACCCTGCATCTTTGGAGAGGTTGGACTTGGGGTCCAGGCACCCAACAGCACCCCTTGCTAATCATCTGTGCTCCCACCCCCAGTCCAGGCCTCTTGGAGGCTCTGAGGCAAACTGGGGGCTTGTGGGGTGGGGTTGAGAAGACCTGCTGTACGTGCCACCTCTGTGACCCAGGAGCACTGCGGTTCCCTTCATCTGCGGAGACCAAGAAAGACACAGGAACCCATCTTGCCAGCGTACCTTTCTTGACACAAAATGTCCACGAAGAGCGAGTCTCTGTTACCGTATTACACAGCCCAGAGTGGTTCTGGAGTCGGCATGTTCAACACCGCCATGGGGAAATTACAGCGGCAGCTGCACAAAGGGGAGTATGATATATTCAAGTACGCGCCGATATTCGAGAGTGACTTCATCCAGATCACCAAACGCGGAGAAGTGATCGACGTACACAACCGTGTCCGGATGGTCACCGTGGGCATTGCGTCCACCAGTCCCATCCTTCCACTCCCTGATGTCATGCTACTGGCCAGACCGGCACCATGCGAAGAGGTTCCTGGACGTGGCCAGTCCAACACCACCAAGGGCAAAAAACGCAAGCCTGGAAAGACCCTGGAGCTCACTAGGCTCCTCCCTTTGAAGTTTGTAAAGATTTCTGTTCACAAACGTGATAAACAACAGCTACGCCTGAGGTTCGCTACTGGCCGTTCTTGCTACCTGCAGTTGTGTCCCCCTCCCGAAAGCAAGGATGACCTCTTTTCCTACTGGGAAAAATTGATTTACCTCCTGAGACCACCTGTGGACAGCAACAGCAGTACGTACGCCATCCCAGCCGGGGACATGATGAACATGCCTTTTCTAGATGAAGAACACAAGACTAGTCATCCAAGAGTGGACATCCACGGAAAAGGCAGAAAAAGCGAGGCAGACCAGGTCAGCGTCAAAAGCCTCCCTATGGTCACAGACTTCAGTGAGGTTGGCTCTTCTGCTTTTGCTGGTGGGGAGGGAATCCTTCATGATTCTTACATAGCCACTGTTCTGTCTGGGGTACCCACTCCCAAAATAAGCTCAAAAGTCCTTGCCAGAGAGTCAGGAACAGGGGTAATAGTGAGTGACCTAGTGGGCACTTTGAGCTTGACACCAAACAGGTCTGTAGGCTCTGGACAGCTAAGTGCAGTCACAACAGGAGAGGGTACCATGGGAGCAAGAGGAAGCAAAAGCCATTTGACCCTTGCAAGCGCTGGCAAGATGTCGCCCAAGAGCATGAAGATGGCCTTGGCAGGGGTGGCAAGCAAGTCCTTGGAGTATATTCCCAATTCATCCGGCAGCCTCTCCCGAAAAGAGATCATGACTATAACAAATTCAAGGATCGAGACTACAGGAAAGCCTGTTGGAGAAATAGCAAATGACCCAGACCCAGTCCCAGACCCAGTCCCTGTCCCTGTCCCTGTAGTCCTTGCCTTGACCATGCCAAGCGAAAGCCGCTCAAGCCAAGAGACTGGACGTCGGAAAGCCTTCGCGACCAACACCAAAGCCCATAAGGAAAGGAGGTCAAGAAGGGAGCAGAGAGCAAAGGACAGAGTTAGCAGCAGGAGTGAGCATCACCACAGGACAGGAGAAGGTCGCAAGACAGCAGGGGACAAGGAGTTTCGAAAATCAGCCAGCCACAGATGTGTTGGCGATGACAAGAAGGACAAAGGCAGCAAGCGAAGCAGGTCGCACAAAGGGGTCAGCCATGTCCCCATCACAAAGGAGTCCCGGAGCCGAACCGTCTCCACTGCCAGCTCTGTCTCTACGAGCAAGAGGGTGGGCAGAATCAGCATGTTCCTGAGAAACATCAGAGCCAACTTGGCTGCAAAAGGCCTGGCACTACAGCGTGGGCAAGATGTGGGTATCATGACTAAGACACTAGAGAAAACCGACGTGAAGGCCATCATGGAGTCAGAGGGTGGCCAGGACCTGGAAATCATTGATTCTGTGACATCTGAGGTCATGGAGACAGTGACCTTCGAAGCTCATTAAAGTACAACTCAGAGCCAAAAACTGCAAAGGGGCCCAGGGCCCAGGGAAAACCCCTGGAATCCACTCCAGCTTTCTCAGTGCAGTTTAAATAAAGAACCTTGCTACCTGAAAAGGGCTGTCTGCATTTTCCATACCTGGAAATTCAGGAGTGACCTCATAGTGAATTCTGTGATGTCATCGTGAAACTCCTGGCTGCACCTGGATGAGGACTCCCTCTCCTTGGTGTGGGGTGCTCACAGCTATGACTGCTGCTCTGCTTGTCCTGGGTCTAGTTGGGGGTGGGAGAGTGGATCAGCACTGGTTATTAAGACAGTCTGGACTTAGCAATTCTGTACACACCTGTGCACCTGAGACTAACACACGTGTCTGTGCTTGGGTCTTTGGGTCAGGTGTATATGAATTGAGAGACAGCTATGAGAATATTCCTAGCAAAATGATTTAGTATCTCAACACTGGAAACAGGCCAAATAACAAAATGAGAGTTCATACTATGTAGAAGATGGGTTATTCAGGCAATGCAACATAGATACATTTTTCTCCTAATGTTGAAAAGGAGCAAATCAGAGAATAGAGTCTCACTGCATTGATAGGAGAGTTCAGAAACAAGACAAGAGAGTGAAGGAAAAACAAAGAGGTATGATCAAGGTGCACTTTCAGAGGCTCTGTGTGTGTGTGTGTGTGTGTGTGTGTGTGTGTGTAAGAGAGAGAAAGCATGGTGTCTGTGAGTGAATATGGTGAGAGAGAGACAGACAGACAGACAGACAGATACAGAGACAGAGAGAGTATGTGTGTGTTTATACTTCCATGGTCAGCATGTGGATATCAGAGGACAACATTTTGGAGACTGGTTCTCTCCTTCTATTATGTGGGTCCTGAGAAACTCAGGCCATCAAACTTGGATACCAGCATCTTTCCTGGCTGTATTTAAGGAGTGAGTACATTGGTGATCGTTTTTTGTTGTTGTTGTTGTTTTTTGTTGTTGTTTGTTTTTTTTCGAGACAAGGTTTCTCTGTGTAACACTAGCTGTCCTGGAACTCACTCTGTAGACCAGCCTGGCCTCGAACTCAGAAATCCACCTGCCTCTGTCTCCCAAGTGCTGGGATTAAAGGTGTGTGCCACCACTGCCTGGCAAGTGATTTTTTAAAAACAACTTTAGTATCGAAAATGTTGGCATTATAATAAAATTTCCCCAAACTTTTTCCTTATGTAGCAACCTTTTCTTAAGACTCAAGAAACCATAGTTGGTTATTAGAAAAAAGGCTGAGGGAGGTAACTTCGTCATCGTCCAGTGGGGGCCTTTGCAGGACAGGTCACCCCAGCCCATGTCCTTAGGCAGAGTCCTATTTGAGGAACAAGAAGAGAGAATCCAGACTGGGCTGGCCACCAGACACACAGGGAAACTCAGGAGGGATGGGCGCTAGCTATTGATCAAGAGGAGAAGGGGATCATGGGGGCAAAAGATTAGATACAGCCTGACAGTGTGTGTTGATTTTTGAACTACAGTAGGTTCTCAGCTGTTAGCAACCTTGTCTAAGAAGGGTCCAGTCCAACCTTTAGGTTGCCCCGGGCTTGGGTTTCTATTCCTCAGCCTCTGCCCTGCAGCTGTAAACAGACCTCCTGCCTGGAATTCCAGACCTCGCAGCTTCCCATCTCCCAAGACACTAATTAAACTCTTGAAAGGCTGAGCAGAACTGTTTTCTCCATACCAAATCTTCAAAACTTCCTATAGCTCCAAAACAACAAATTCTCAAAGCTCGTGTCTGGGAGACTGGGCTTTCAGGTTCAAATTTTAAAGCTGCCTTTGAGGCCAGCACAGACTTCAGCTTTGAGTGGGAAGAGGATGATGGGCATGGGGGTGGAGGGCTTGCTGCTGAGAAAGGAAGCTAGCTCAAGACCTGCCCGCTCCAACCATTTCCTGTAGCCCAAGGAGGCTCTTGACCCCAACACGAGAGATTACTGGAGTGAGTCAAATTTTTCTCAAGAAAGGAGGGAGCATGCAGATTAGATAGGGCAGCTTCTCTAAGGAACACAGCCATAGAATCATTAACCCAGAGCTCCAAGGAGACTGCGGAGGGGATCCTGCCAGTGGGAGGGTGACTCCCAGCCAGCCTGTCCTTTGACTGGAAAGGTGTAGAATTTACTAAAACCACGCCACATTTCTTTAATTTGATGATTTCTACTCAAGTCAGTGCGAGTCTGTCAGACAAAAACAAACCAAATCAAACCAAACCAAACCCTCACTACAAACATTTGCACAACACCCAGCTCAGATGTCCCCTAGTGTTTGCCCTTGGTTCGCAGAGCTCAGCGACACATCAGCATTTTAGAGGACTCTTTCTAGGTGCAGAGGGGCACTGCCTGTGACACCCTTCAAAAGCCAGCAGAGATCTGGAAGGTGCTCGACTTGCCTGTCACGTGTGTATTTGGGGGATAGCATGTTCATAGGAGGTTTCCTGAGGCAGGTGTGGGTCTAGGTCTCTAGGGCCCAGGGAAGAGAGAGAGCGAGTGGCCATGGGTGCCTGAAAAACAGGCAAGCTTGAAACATCAAGGTGCTGGGGTCACTGAAAGAATTGTATAGCCTGAAGTTGAAGGGCTAGGTGACAGCGGGGTAGAGGACCAGGAAAATGGGCACTGGTGGCCTGGGAAGCCATGTGAACACGCAGGTCTTTGAGATTCACTGAAGCACGGAGCCTGATGGGAGTCAGATCTCTGTGGCTCCAGGGTGTAGAGCTAAGGGGGTGGGAGTGGGTGCTATCTGGAGGCTCTGGATCCTATATGTGGGGCCGTTAGCTCTCGTGTGTGGGTGTGGGTCCTGTTTGGTTGGGTTGTGATTCCCCCGTGTCTGTCGCTCTGGGGGCAGGAACTGCGGCTCTATGGAGCAGAAGCATGGGAATTTGACAGATGCTGGGCTGTGTGAGAAGCTGCAGGGGCTCTACCTGGGCATGGAGAGGTCCCAGCCAGAAGTCCTGCGGGGGCAGGGCTCCTGAGTGGGTGTCTCTGGGCTGACGAGGCTGACCTGGGAGACTTGGGCTCCCAGACACCGCCGAGAGCCTCAGAAGAACAGAGATGCGAGGGCATACGGGCTGGACCGGCCTGCAGCCAGGAGAAACAAGGGGGAGAGAGAAGCCCTGGCAGGTAGAGACTCTTGGTTACCGCACTCGCTTAGGCTAGATCAAGGCTGGCTCAGCTAGCTTGCTTAGATCGGTGGGCCTCCGCAGCGGGAACGTAGAGAAGTCTTCTGGTGGGAGATTAAGCAATGGCCTTCTCCACAGTTCCCCAAAGACATGAAGAAGTTCATGGTTTAAAAGGTTTCTTGTCATGGTGGAAAGTGGATGAATCTGGCTGCACCCCTATATCTCCAGGGCGGGCCTTTGGTTAAATACTGTTTGTAAGGAGGAGGGTCTGGGAAAGAATGCTTAATTGGCTACACCCTCGGGCCTTAGGTATCTCATTAATATGGAAATCTCTTGAGGCTGAGGCCTGTAGTCACACCCTCTACCTGTGCTGGGTGACACAAACCTCTCTTGGGGAGGGGCTGTGGAGGGCTGAAGCTAAGTGAAAGGAACCAGGGGCCCAAGAGCAAAGCCGAACACCTTCTGTCCCATTAGGGTCCAGGGTTCGAGCCAGGCACCCAGCTGACTCTCACAGCCCACTGCCCCATACCTGTAGAGAGCCTAGCTAGAAAAAGGAGCTCAGGACCCAGGCAGCTATGGAAAGATAAAGATGGATCAGGAGATATAGCTGAGATGAGAAGGACAGTTGTCCCCTTCTTCCGAAGACTGAAGGTCATGGGCTGGAACTATACTACAGTCATCTAGAGTCAGCAGAGTGAACACTGGGGGTGTCTCCTCCCTTAGGGGGGTCTGTTGGTCTGTGGGAAGAGCTGCAAGACAGGAATCTCAACAGAGAAAGACATGTGTTAAGTGGATAAAACAGCTTGGAGGTAAAATTAAACAAAACCAAACCTACATAGGACATTAAGGGGGGAGAAGAAAGGACAAGGGCCAGTAGGGTGGAGGTGGGCTTTGCAATCTACATTCTTCAGAGAGACTAGGAGGGAATAGGTTTAGGCTAGAAGCTCCAGCAGCCTGCAGGGGTGAGTTGCTCAATAGAGCCCCTTGTGGCCATATGCTGTTACTGCCCTTTGGTGCTTGATGTAGGGGAGCCAGGGTAGTTGGTTGAATGACAGTCACCTTTCCCTTTGCCACACCACAGTTTGCCTAATGCTGATTCACTGATAATCAGCCGGTCCATCAGAGACACCGCCCCTGCAACAGGTAGCAGGAGAGGTGACACTGGGGAAGCTGGCAAAGAGGGTGGGCCTTGTCCAGGGGTGGGTTAGCGTTATGCGCCCTCTGCAGCCTAGAAATCATCTGAGAAATTATTATTGAATACCAATTATGGGCAAGATGGGCTCCACGGAGATGGTCCAGCACATACACAGTGACAGCAACCAAGCCTGGCTGAGGCATAGCTCAGATTAGAGCATTTGTCTGGTAGGTTGAAGGCCATTTCCAGCACCACAAAACAAGGTGTAGTGGTGGGCAGTTTAGAGGGATGCTTCGGTGTGAGGGGGAAGCTTGAGAGAGGGCGGGAACACTCTCTGGAGAGGCAATGGTCTGGCAAACAGAAGGACTTAAGAGGTTCCGGTAGATGGCAGCCCATGGTGGCGTGTCAGGGTGATCAGGGTGTGAGCAGTGCAGAGAGATGAGAGTCATCTGAAGCAAAGAAAGGCTACACCCTAGGGAAGAGCCCTGAATACCACACACCTGGCATCCCCCGTATCTTCATGAGCACAGATATGGCCTGTAATCCAGGAATGAGGGGTGTGCATAGCTGGGCTCTTCAGGATCAGAAAAGCACAGGAATCACGGGCTCCTTCCTGCCAATTCAGAGAGTTTGACATACCCTGTGGAGGTACGTATCTCCACACGTGCTTCTCCACACGTATGCCAAGGTGCTGATACTCCTCATCCTGAGGGCAGCCAAAGGACAAGACC